AGCACACAGATAAGCAATGACATACAAGCAGAATACAAATACAATCAGCATACAAATACACCAGGGCGTTCTTGTAATCACAAGAACGCCCTGGTGTGCGACTTTGATCCCATTACACGGCTTCAGCATCAGCGTTTTTGTATTAATACATTTAGGTACATTTACATTTGTGCAGCTACCCCTAGACTATATGAAGGGGAGTACAGTGTCCAAAAAACTAGCTACGTGATGCTAAGAATCAAAATTAATAAATTACTTGGCATTTTGCCCAATGGGTAAATGTTGGGAATCAATCTATGTATCATCCAGCAACCCAACTGATAAAAAAAAACGCTTTAACATCTGTGTTGCGAGGAAACATTAGTGCATGAAAAGTAAGTATTTATCAAAGAAGGCACCAAGCCGGCAGTGCATGAAAACCGGTAAGTGATTTTGTATTTGTTCATATTTTACGCGATTATTAATGCATAACATTTGCAAAAGAAACAATACATATATTGTGATTTATATTACCAATAGTTAATATAATTCCCTATGAAACACTGGTTAATATCATGCCTTATAAAAGCATGTTAGTTTAGGGTGGACAGGAGGCTATTGAACATCCACGTAAACATTATACCTGACCCGGGTTGGGGTTGAAATTGAAATAAGTTTATTGAGGTAAAATACACACAAAGGGATGAGGTAGCTCAAGCTATTCTCACCCCGTTCAGTACATCGTGTTAATACATACATAGACACACATCACAAACAATAAACATATTACCAAACATTCTGAGAGATAAACTTATACATTTCCTCCTTTACACAAGTAAAGGGTTGGGGTTGTATACAAGTAGTGATTATCTGGTTAGGATTTTTTTGACCTCTTGGGTGGCTTAATCTTCATCAATCGGTAAGTTTCCCTTGTGAGAGTAAGTGCCCAAACTTAGGGCTCAGTAAAGTTTCTGCGCTAGGATACACCACGCTGCCTTATGTTTCCAACTACAGTGTATAAACTTATCAAAAGTGTTGGGAATTAGCATTTCTTGTGCTTGTTAAAATTACTATAAATTGTCAACTAGTTATAATGAAATATACAAGAAGGAACACTGCGATTGTTACCAAAGGCGGCTAGTATATTGTGCACTCCATACTCATCCTGTGAGCGGTAGCGCAAAAAAGGATTACACATCATAGCATTCTATCTGTAACGACGACTACAAGTTGTTAATTAGTTTGGTCATTTATTATGCACTCTATAAACATCGCGTGGGCGGTGGTGATAAGGGTTACCGATGCACACAATGGTCCAGAAAATGAACCCCACAGTTCATTTAGCTAAGCCAGTAACAATCATGTGAAGCTAGTTACGCAATAGTTTTTAATCTGACTTTAATACACACCCACATATGTGTGTACTCGCCTATTTGTGCTTGAGGTAGTTGAACTTTGGCTCTTTGGTCCCGCCTCGTGTGTGTGTACCATTTGTGTCTGCAGCATCGACCTATTAGCTCTTGGACCCCGCCTGTCTAACCAATCTACTTTTCCTCTACTACATATATTTCTATCTAAACACACACACAAGTATGTACACACACACACAAGTGTGTACTTACCTACTTACCTAATTGTGCTTGCGGGGGTTGAGCTTTGGCTCTTTGGTCCCGTGAGTATGTGTGTGTGTTTGTATCAGAAGTGGTTCAAGAAGTAGCCTACTACGACAGTCTACACAAGGTAGTTTACACTTACAGCAAGTCAGTTACAAAGTTATTAATCCTGCTCCACACAAATCCAACTATGCATCAGCTTGACAGCGTGGGCAGGCAGTCATTACCTACAATAAGCATTCCAGGCAGATAATAACAAAAAAGCCTCTCAAAACCCATCAAAAATTAATACAGCAGGAGATGAGAAGCACAATAATTAACATAATGGCAGCTATCACAGGAAGGCTGGTGTTTGCACAGCGGTGATGGAGTAATGCAACCCCTTTAACCCTCGCTATCAACACCAGCACAGGGATAAACTGTCTGGGAGCTCATAAAACGTTTACATAAATGTATGCGCCAACAAGTGTCAAGAGTGCAGTTTTAAATGCATGATACACTGATTTTATTCATACAGCACTGCTTTTATTCATACAGCGCAACACAAGTCTATAAAGAGAATTTTATCAAAATCAGTAACATTAAACCGTACAGAAAAATGCACCCAGTAAGCACAATATACAAGACCAAAGCCAAATTAATGTCAAATCAACGTCATTAACGCTGGTAACCGATGAATCAACATGGAGCCAACGCAATGCTTGACTAGTTTGCCAACGGGTAATGGATTCAAGCCTAACAATCTAACTTACCACCTGAAGGCTTGACAGATATAAACACAAAACAATCCAAAATCTCACATAGTAGACGACCTGAAGAAACACGCACTTGGGAAGGAACAAGTTGGTACTAACTAGACTCTTACACAAGCCTGATGCGACACGATATGGAGCCGAAACACTTCATAACAGACCACACACTAGAAAGTGAAGGGACGACGACGTTTCGGTCCGTCCTGAACCATTCTCAAGTCGATCTCACAATCTACTTGAGAATGGTCCAGGACGGACCGAAACGTCGCCGTCCCTTCACTTTCTAGTGTGTGGTTTGGTCAACGTATTTCAGTCACGTTATTGTGACTCCTCGTCTGCACTTCATAACAGCAGAACAACTAAGGCACATGCATGGCCAAAAAAGCACCCATGAAAGCTGAAATGAATACAAAACTCGCATCGGGGACAATCATGTACAGGGCAGTCTCACACTAGGTAGCGCGCACAAACAATTCAATAATATAAAACCCAAATAACAACTTGACACGTCAGAACAAACGCGCACATTAAACGTGATAAAAAAAAAAAGCTTACGCACCGCATATTGAACCAGGAACAGGTCAAATTATAAACCCGCGATGCAGGGCAAATCTGGAAAAACTTGACACTGGATACATGGAACAAACTCCCCAAGGGGCCGGATAGCACCTGGGGTACAAACTCCCACCTATCCACGGTTCGGTTTACAAGCAGTTGCCTCACCCTTTACCCTCCCCGAGGCACCCAACGGAACAATACTCCGCCGCGCGAGGCAAGACTGGCTTACAAAAAAGTTAACCGTCTACACATTCACTACGCAAATAACTTCTATTCATGCACACACGCAAACAACGTGCATGCGTGCCTGTAAATACATACACACGCAAACAACGTGCATGCGTGCCTGTATATACACACACACGCAAACGTCTGCAAATGTACACACACACACAACGTCTGAGCGTGCATATTCAAACAAAGTTTGTAATGTTTATTCAAGCAAAGTTTGCAATCTTAAGAAATTAACAAGCACACAGTGTGTGTGTATCTACAAGTGAACAAGCACGCACGTAACTTCTGCACAGCACGACCATAAGGACACGCCACACAGGGGGTAGGAACCAACCTAACGGTATCTGGTCACTCCGACGATGCATGTCACGTTTGCTCTAAGTTACCTTTGCTTTAGAAACACGCGGGTGCTGCTAAGGTCAAGGTTTACACCAAGTTAGCTCTATGCTAAAATGCAAAGCTATGGGAATAAAAAGTCTGTTTATATTGGTTCGTTTTAAAAATTATGGGAAGGTTTTGCATACGTGAGGACACTGGCGCATGTATGTGCATTTTTTGTTTTATATATCCAGCTTATGTGGAAGTAGAATTGCAGGCACGCCCATAAAAAAAAAACTTGCTACGCCCGTTAGCCCAAGTCAGAACATCCTTCACCACAAATTGGAGACGTGCCAATCACCGCCGTCATTCTGGCCCCTGATTCTCCGCCCCCACCTCCTTCTAGTTCCTAATTCTTTTTCCCCCACCTTCTTGTGGTTCCTAATTCTCCTCCCCCACCTCCTTCTGGTTCCTAATTCTACTCCTTCCTTCACCTTCTAGTTCCTGATTTTTCCTTCTCCACCTCGTGGTCCTTTACCCTTTTCCTACTGGTCCGATCCTTCATCTGGTCCCCAGATCAGCCTCCTGGTCCTCCCCACCAAGTCTCTGATCCTCATGCACCTGCTCCCTCCCCGCCTCCTACTTCCTGATCCACATCCACCTGCCCTCTGACCACCTCCTGGTCCCTGATCCACATCCATCTGCTCTCTGACCACCTCCTGGTCCCCTGATCCACATCCACCTGCCCTCTGACCACCTCCTGGTCCCTGATCCACATCCATCTGCTCTCTGACCACCTCCTGGTCCCCGGATCCACATCCACCTGCCCTCTGACCACCTCCTGGTCCCCTGATCCACATCCACCTGCCCTCTGACCACCTCCTGGTCCCTGATCTTCATCCATCTGCTCTCTGACCACCTCCTGGCCCCTGATCCACATCCACCTGCCCCTCCTCCGGGTCCGTGATCCACATCCACCTGCCCCCCCCCCCCCAGCTGGTGGCACGCGGCCTGGACACTTCCACACGGGCGCCGCCGCAGGTGGGCGTCTCCGCCTCTGCATCACCAGCCTGGTTGATGACGGTGGTGTTGAACCTGTGGTCGGAGGGGCGAGGAGGAGTGCGTGTCCTCGTGTTCCCTTGGCCACACTACCGCCACATCTTCCAGTCAACGCCGCCACTCCCGCGCCATGGTTTTTGAATCAAGAATTACAGCCCCGCCATGGTAGGTGCCATAGGGCGTGTGGGAGAGGCGCGGGGGCCCTCACCCACGCCTCTCCCGGGCGTGTTACACCCCAGCTGACACTTTCCACTGGCCTTTCTCGGGGCACGGTCAACCTCCGCCACGAAACGCCTCTTTGGCAACTCTTTTTATAAACCTGGTCGCTCCTCCCACCTCCGTGAAGGCCGGTTTTCCAGTCATATATACAAATACTATCCCGTTAAAAACACAAGACACATGTCTTCCCCCCTCTCCTATCGCCGCCATCTACCTTTTCCAAGCTTTAACCCCCGTCACATCTAACCCCTGAGAGAGCAACACTCACCCACGCCGGCAGGTTTGATGAAGATTAAACAATAGTCTCCAATGGTATTCAAACACCTGGAGGAGAGCCGCGCGCACACCTTCCCTCCACCACACTCACGACAACACTGCCGTAAACAGCTGCTTTGTTCCGCCTCCCGCCACCCCAGCGCCATCTATTAGTCGCGCCTCGCACCAGAAATTCAATACCCACTTGGAGCCATTGACAGAACTCACTCTTGCATGGGTTAAAAAGAAACCCTGTGTTAATGTTTCGGGTTAAACCATGTGTGTGTTATGGCCTCTAGGAGCGTATCGAGAGCAGTCTTGATAAGAGAGCAAAGACGGGGTTGGGTCTGTTAAACAAAAAGTAAAAAAATAAAAAAATAGTGGGTGTTGAGAGGACGTTTGTGGGAAAGTCAGAGTGCGGCGGCACATGGTAACGTTCAGCACCACATGTAAACAAACGCACATGGTAACGTTCTACACCACAGGTAAACAAACGCACATGGTAACGTTCTACACCACAGGTAAACAAACGCACATGGTAACGTTCAGCACCACATGTAAACGGTAACGTTCAGCACCACAGGTAAACAAAAGCACATGGTAACGTTCAGCACCACAGGTAAACAAACGCACATGGTAACGTTCGGCACCACAGGTAAACAAACGCACATTGTACCAGCATGCACTATGCACACACCTCCACGAATGCCAATACTCACTCACGCGGAAATTCGCACACACCTGTATACAAACTCACGTATTACATAAATACTCAGATTTATCCGATATTTTGTTTATAACTATGTTTAAAGCCCTCTTTAAGTAGGCCTACAAGGGTGCAGACACCTTTGTACTTTGAGTAGGGGGACAAATGACATGTGTTCAGATTATGCTCATGGCTTATATTGTGAATAATGAGACGTATTGGGGGATTCTATAGTTGAGAATAACAAGTGTATAACATTACAACAATGATCATTCTCTGACGTTCGTGAACCTCCTTCATTCTCAGTGCCAAAAATCATCGATACAATTCTTTATTGTCATATGCCCGAATGCCCTGCCCGAAACGCTTTGCGTAATAGTGGCTTTAGGCATTGTATGTACTAGCTCTATCTACAAATCCATCAACTTTTGTATTTCACCTTGTATGTATGTACTTTACCTGAATAAATATTTGTATATGACATAATTAGATATTAGACTCCCCACTGTGACGTCAATGTAACAATACAATAAATTTGTAAACAAAAGAGTTTCAGACGATGAGTCACAATAACGTGGCTGAAGATATGATGGTCAAAGCGCACATCACAAGATGAGGAGACGACGACGTTTCGGTCCATCCTGGGGCCAAATTCACGAAAGTACTTACGAACGAGTACATCTTTTCTCAATCTTTGACGGCTTTGGTTACATTTATTAAACAGTTTACAAGCATGAAAACTTCCCATTCAACTGTTGTTATTGTTATAAACAGCCTCCTGGTGCTTCGGAGCTCATTAACTGTAAACAAAGCCGCCAAAGATTGAGAAAAGATGTACAAGTTCGTAAGTGCTTTCGCTGGACCATTATCAAGTCGTGTGAGAAACTTTATTCTCACAGACACGACTTGATATTGATCCAGGACGGACCGAAACGTCGTCTTCTGACGTGTGGTTTAGTCATTAAAAACTAGTTGCAAATTATATATATAATAACTGGTCAAACGCCTCCTGTGCTTGGTCGACGTCACACCTATGTACTTAGATTGAAGGTTACATCCTTCGAGGGGGGGGGGGGGTTAGGTGTACATGTATACCACATTCGATTGCTGTGCCAGCTGTGTCTGGGTACAAGTGACAGGATGAACAACCCAGCGGGTTTTCTTCCTATTGGGGAGTGTTGTACATGCTGCTATGGCGGTATGTCCACTCACAAGATGAGTGGCCCTGCCCAATAAACTCGCCTCTCGGGGCAAAAATTAAAAAAAAAATTTAAGGGTCTGTGTACTCACCTAGTTGTGTTTGCGGGGGTTGAGCTTTGGCTCTTTGGTCCCGCCTTTCAACTGTTGACCGTGTGTGTGTATGTACACATATATATTTTGGTGCAATAATAATATATAAATGTGTATATATAAATATATATATATATAAACTTCAATGTAAATATGATGAACAGGAGAAAATAAAAAACAATTTGAAACAAATATTAAATTTAATACAACAAAATAAAAGTTACTTTGTGCCTCCAATACAAGTCTTTGTTCGCGTAATTTATAAGCCAAAATAAAATATGCCAAAAAAATATGAACAATAATTTCAACTCAATGACCTGACAATGACGTATAAAGATACAGTACAAGATACTGGCCAGTTAGAGCCCCGCTCCTGTGCCAGGTAAGTCCACTACGGGCTCACCATAGCCCGTGCTACTTGCAACTTTTGGTTCCCAGTAGCTGAATCTAAAACAACAACAGAAATACATTACCTAACACCAAGCCTTAGTGTGCTGCATTAGCGAGTCATCAGGAGCTAAATGTTAACCAAATGAAGTCTCTGAGGTGACTGAACGCGATGTCTGGTTCCTGCCAGACATTAACTACCTTATCCCCCCCCCTTACCCACCTCCCTAGAGGGCAGTGGCGTAATGGCTCAATTATCACGTCGGTGGTTCAACAATGTGTCAACACCAAAAACTATATGAACCCAAAATGTCGTGTTGCCTAATGATACACATTTTTAGATTGATTGATTTCACATACATAGAAAATATTTACATCAACTCCTTGCACGGACTTTGTTATCCAATGGGAGAAGCTACTTCCCCAAAATCTACATTTCGCTTTCTAATAAAAATCAAAGTCTGGAAGGATTTAAAATAATATTGGAATTCATTAAATTATCCTTCCAACCTTTAAACAATGTAATTACCAATTGACGGCGCTCCTCATACTAGTCTAGACCACAGAGCAACACACGGAGTCAGCACAGAGGTCACGACCTCTCCGTATCGTGCAGTCGCACCTCCACAGATCTCCAGTATCAGCTAATGATACTGGTAATGGCTCCAAAGGGCCACCACTTACGGGCTATTCATGCCCGTGCCACCTTTTGAGTGGCTTAATCTTCATCAATTAATCGGAGTCAGCAGCAGTTGAGGTGTGATGGTCTCCCGCTGGTCAACACCTCACACACGCTTCAGGGAAACGAGGAGTAAACGTGGCTGAAATATATATCGACTTGAGAATGGTCCAGGACGGACCGAAACGTCGTCGTCCTTTCACTTTCTAGTGCGTGGTCTGGCCAATACGTTCCAGGGAGTATGGATAACCACGCTTGTACGGTGTTTGTGTGGTATGGGATGATGGTACAAGTTGTACCATCATCCCATACCACACAAACTTTTCAGTAAAGACGCCAGCGTACTAAGCTGATACATGGAACACTAATGCATAAGCTTCAGCCGCCATATTTCTTAACGCATCTAGCCTTAACGCTAGGCTATGTGAAGGTAAGAGCCAAGTATAGAATATACTAGGTTGTTGAATATGACCGAAAAGGCAAGATTAATAATTCTAACACGAATTTTCTCAATATGTTTTTCTTCACTGTCGGTGGTAATAAAAATATCAATTTCACCTCCACAGTGAAGAAAAACATAAGAAATATTGAGAAAATTCGTGTTAGAATTATTAATCTTACCTTTTCGGTCATATTCAACAACATATGCTTACAAGAAAGACTGCTACCAAAATATACTAATATACTAGGTATATACTCTATACCTTTATGCATAGAGTTCAACCTCACATTTTTTTTCTATTTATTAATATATACAAGAGTTTTTACATTCTTGTACAGCCACTAGCACGTATAGTGTTTCTGGTCAAGTCCTTAATCCTAATATTCCCCTGAATACGACCCGCCAAATCGTTTAACACCCATTCTACTCTTGGGTAAACAGAGGCTACAGTTAAGATTGGCGCCCAGTCAATCCTCCCTGACCAAAGCGTTTGCGAAACGCCAGGAGAGTGTCTTACCACTTCGTCAGGGGGACATAGTCTTCGGATACTGAACAAATAAAGTTCTTCCAACCTTACTTTTTATAATTGTGCAATTATTTTGTATCGATTAATAATTTAACTTTTTTTTAACGCTGGGTCACTTCTTTTGACAGTCACGAGGGTTCTGAGGTGTAAATTTCAGTAAGACCTTCATTTTGGCTACATGAATTATCACTAGATAGAATTATCCTCCGCGTTTTAGTTTTTATAGTTTACGCGATTATGTTCCCTTGTTACATGATTTTATACAAGTTATAAAATGGTATATAATTTATCTATTTGACAAATAAGTATACTTTAATACCAACAGAAATTATACTTTTTTCGGCTTATATATATATATATATCTCAGACCTGCAAGTTTAAAGGAGTATATAGTTTATATACTTTGAGATAATAATAGTGAAGAACGAAATATTCAAATCTTTTACTAACTTTTAAACATGTCTTTTGCTCTATGAGTTCTTGGGAGCAAGTTTTCAAGCTGACTCAACATAACATCAGCTTTGTCCTGCCCATCATTCATGTACTACACTCTGCACATCCGCTACGTAATTACCTAAGTGTAGTTACAGGATGAGAGCTACACTCGTGGTGTCCCGTCTTCCCAGCACTCTTTATCACATAACGCTTTGAAACTACTGACGGTCTTGGCCTCCACGTGTCTGTGAAGGGGGGGGGGGGTAGAAATAGCCTAAGCTACTCTATCCCTTTGAGATGTAGTTTTTATTATCTCAATAAACATACTTAAACAAAACGTCTGTGTTCACATTAACCACCAAGAGTTTCCCACAGTACTTCCTACCATCCTCAAGTGCACCTGCTGCCACCAGTATGTTCCGGGTTCGAATCCCAGACGGGACAGAAATGGGTGGGCACATTTCCTTTCACCTAATGCCTCTGTTCACATAGTAGTGAGAGGTACTGAGGAGGTAGTCAGCTTGTTGTGGGTTGCATCCTGGGCGGGGTCAATAATTCGACCTGGGGTAAGGGAACCTCGATAAAAGCCGAACGTGTATGAATACACTCTTTCATACAATAACTTTCAGTGATGCTTGATATTGATACTGGCTTCTAGTTCAGTGGTTTATCTTCCCCCTTACTTATACTGCATCACATTAGCCAATATCAAAGTTTTACAGCTAGGCCTACAGCTTTCATCACATTTAATGAATTCAGTTTTTCCTTATTTCTTCTAGTGCCATTTATATTGCAATGAGACTTGCCAGTGAGGGTGTCTGCTCTGTTATTGCTCTTCACTCTAGTGGCAGAAAAGGTTCTAGCTTAACTTCCTGGAAGCTTTTATTCAGTAATTCACATACTTATAATTCTCTCTCTTCCATCGTTTTAGCATGTAACCTGATCACCTGGTCCTTCAGACATCTTCCTCCTGATATGGTTACATAGCAGGTTTAGGCAGGTCCTTAATTTCGAATGCTATGGCATTCTCATACAACTGCTCTGCCACTCTAGTTTGTGTCTCCAGTATGCGTTCCTCATTCTATTAAATATAAATACTGTAATGATTCCCTTTTGTTCTTTGGTCTCTTTCTTCCAAGTTCTTGATTCATGGGCTAGACCAGAGATAATAATATTTGGTAGTAAAGCCAAAGAATTTACCTTGACATTATTAGGTCTTAAATTATCAGTATTCAGGTGTGCTCGGGCATTGTCCAATGTCAACAATGCCTGAACCTCGTGACATTCTACTTGCCTTCATTTTATATATACTGTACCTGTGTGTGTGTGTGTATATATATATATATATATATATATATATATATATATATATATATATATATATATATATATATATATATATATATATATATATATATATATATATTTTTTTTTTTAAACCTAAAAGGGGTACCACCTCTGGTGCAAGTGTAGGGACCCACAGCCTCGGAGAAGAAAATAAAGAGTACTCAGAGAAGACCTTGTGGATCCTCACTGAACACTTTGATATTTGTTTCTCCTACCACCCTTATTCTTTTTGAATGTGTGTATATAAATATTTTTTAATGTCTAGAAAACTGTCCAGTGCTAACAAAGCATTTTTAAGATTGATAGTACTCATGTTATTTATTAAAAGTTGTAGCCAGCCATTTATCTTTTCTGTGATTGCACTAAACATTAAAAAACTGCAGGGCAGGAGTCTGAAAAAGGAGTCGAGTTTGTGAGAGATGGAACAAGTTTAAATGGCTGCCTTAGCTGCAGAATCGGCTAGTTTGTTTTAGGCAACACTTATATGACTGGGTGCCCAGTAAAGCTCTGCAGTTTTAAAATGACACGCTACCAATATTGAATTTGTATTACAATGGAATTAAAAGGATCAAGAGATTTGAGAACGATTAGATCGCTAAGAGTTTTGGTTTGGCAGTTTGGCACTTTAACCAAAACATTCCCAAGAGGGAATTTGGATGTCTTGTGTCCTATTAGTGCATTGAGATAAGTTTGCCTCTGTACTGGGTTGATCTCTGATCCCCAAGTAGAGGGGGGCAAGGACAAATTTCCAGGACCCTTGTCCTAGGTAGCCAATGAGTCTTCCAAATGCCTGCCATACTGGCAACACCACATTACTGGTGTATTCAGTAATGATCGGTGCGTAAGCATCGGGACGCTACAAAAAAAAGCCTGAAAATACATAGAATTCTCAATAAAACTGGCTATCATTCACTAATTTTAATGTTTAATACAACATTTGGCAAAGACATAACTCAGCAGATCATGTAGGAAGGTGTGATGCAAGTCATGGCTCGAGGGCCAAGCACTGGCAAGCAAGTGATGTAAACCTGATAAATGCAGGAAACATGAATTCATTTGCTACAGCACCTGTTACCTAGCAGTAAAATTGGTACCTGGGTGTTAGTCAGCTGTCACGGGCTGCTTCCTGGGGGTGAAGGCCTGGTTGAGGACCGGGCTGCGGGGACACTAAAGCCCCGTAATCATCTCAAGATAACCTCAAGATGATAGCATGCATGTAAACATATGCTATCGTTACCACTAAGATGACTTTTAAAATGTTTCCAATACTATTGACACATAATATTCAGGGGTGGTTATGACACACTTTTGTTTCATTTTAATTCTGATTTATTGTACAATATTCAGTACATTGTAAAGATGCGGCAGTTATTTGGCAACTGTACAATATCTAAAGACTCTGTATGCATATACACTTAAAAGAACACACACTATACCCAGACCAAGCCGTATACACAGATTTTTAAACACTGACAAAGACAGTAAGGACCCACATTTTTTACCCAAAACTATAGATTTTTCAATGAACAGTCTTACAGTTGATACACAATTTTAAAATGTATGACTATATTTATACAAGATACAGAGGGTTTGTTATAATAGGATCTTACTTTAATATCTTACAGACAGCATAAATGGATAAATGACACTGTTTGGTTAGAGAAAATGTTTATCTTCCACAAGAATGTGCCAGCTCCTTCAAATACCGATCATTTGGTAGTCTCATGCACATGTTACTCGGAGATTTGTAACTTAAACGGTCTTGTGTGTTACTGAATAAGAAGAAAATGACAAGTTTTAAAATATGGTTTAATAAACATTGAGATTAGTGCTGGTAGAAAGACAGCGAGTGCATTTATTGACATACCAATACAGTAGTAGGAGGGTTGAAATAGCCTAAGCTACTCTATCCCTTAGAGATGTATTTTATTGTTTCAATAAAAATACTTGAACTTTAATACAGTAGCACTACTAATAACAACAGTATTATACCTTTGTTTCTTTATATTACTTGGAAATTCATGAATCCTTACCTTAAAAAGTTTTCTTTGATAAAACTTAACCTACTACTGTACTTTCTAATAACAAATATTGTTTATGGAAACAGGCAAACATAACATATTCCTAGTCCTGCTGATGATTTAGTGAAGACCAGTTACAATATTGCTGGCAAGACAAGGTTGAAAAACATGAAGACTTTACTTAACCCTTACACTGCTCCAGTTGCATATATCTGTGATTTCCTCCTGTACTCAATAGCAAAATATGCAGTTGCTCCTTATGAGTTTTCAATACATATTTTTTCTCCCTGTACACTTGTATGTAGGACTTTTAAATAGCTTAGCAGTTTAAGGGGTTAAAACGGTTCAGTTGTGACACACTTGCCCCACTCGTGGCGAGTCCAATGTAGCGAGTGAATCTAGTCCGAGGCTAGGACTCCCTGGCCAAAGTTCTGTCCACGGAAGATTGACCAGGTGCCAATCCCTAACTGTTCGCCTCTGTTCACCCAGCTGTAATTGGGCATTAACAGATTGGCAGGTCGTGTTTCAGGAAAACTAATGGTAAAGGCTTACCTGATATACCTAATCAACCAAGCTGTGATTCATACGTCAGACTGCAAGCAGCCATGTCAAATAGCCTGGTTGACCAGATCACCATCCAGGAGGCCTGGTTAGACACTGGGCCATGTGGATGTTGACCCCTGGAATCAAGGCAAGGTATCATAAGCTATGCAAAGGGAAAGCTCTCAGCTTGCTAACAGGAGTCAGAAGACATCTGTTCCTGTATCCACCTTTGTAAAAAAGACAAAGAAAGAAAATAAAAAAATATTTTCCAGTAACACAAGACGTCTTTAATGTGCCAATAAATGTAAAGTTTAAAAATTTATAATATTTTAACAAATTTCTTGCAAATTTAACATCTAGCTCTTTAATGAAATTACAGCTTGATTTAATTTCTACTAGACACAAATTGATTTTGCTATTGATCAGTAAATCTAAATTATCTATATACAACTCTTCAAAAGCAGACAATAAGTCACAATAATAGGGCTGAAAACTAGACACCCCAATCCACAAATCTGAAAATACCATAATTTACAACATTTCAATGTGTCCTGGACCATCATCAACTCATTTAATTTTCAGATTAGTTGTTTAGGTGTCTAACCTTTTCAACTTAGGAATGATTAATGCCAACCACTCCCAAACTTAATATTAATAGACTTTCCTCATACACCCAGTAATCAAACTGTAGGGATTTTGTAAAATTATGGCTGCATTTTCAGAAATTTTAAAACTCTGATTCTGTAATCCATTTACTTATTACTGTTGCTACATTCACTGAAAGTTATCCTCAAAATTAAAAAAAAGTACCCTTCCCAGGCTGTTAAGCATTCCTACACAGCATTTTTACTAGAACACTTCCTGTAATACCGTGCTATTTGCTCACACCCCATAAATCACCATTGTGAATTACAGCACTGTACTGGGACTCAATTTCTAACAGAGTACCATGTTATCTTTAACCAGTGTTGCACAGGAGGAATGCAACCATTATTTTAGGTAATGATATGTTATTATCCTGCATGGCACATTTTAACTGTGCATGGCATCGCCTAGAATTTGTTTAATTTGGTCGCTCACAGTACTTCGGTGAGGCACTGTCAAACTCTTATACTTTTGGTCGACTGATTTTGTGTAACAAATTTGTGGTGCAAAACTCCCACATCACTAAATGTAATCTTCCCCCCTACGCCCCACTACTGTGTAGTGGGAGTAGGGGGGGAGTAGTAGTCAGTAAATGGAATGCATTAAAAAGTGATGTGGTGGAGGCCGACTCCATACACAGTTTCAAATGTAAATATGATAAAGCTCTAAAAACTAAGGAATCTGTACACCAGTAGATTGACAGTTAAGAGGCAGGACCAATGAGCTGAAGCTCAATCCCTGCAAGCACAACTAGGTGAGTACAGTAACCTATATTCAAATTAATCTATCTTTAATTAATTGGTCATTGTTTACACTATCATACTTTCCTTTCAATCTTGAGATACGAGTGATACGACAAAAACACGGATGTCATCACCAGGATTCATCTTCTCACTAGTCACAATAAGTTATATATTGTACAGTACACTATTTCTATTACAACCCAGATAGTCAGTGAATCTGACCGAGTGATTTTTTGTTTTAAATTTCATGATCTAAAAATATTTGATCAAAAATTGGGAAGCTAAAATAGGAAAATGACTAGAATTAGTTTTTTTAATGATAAAGTTCTTACACTCACTTGAGAAGATAAACATTTAACTTTTTTAACATTTGATAGAAAGGCACCAACTGAGTTGTACAACAGTACACTTAGCCACTGAATAGTACACTTAGCTACTGAATGGTACACAACTAATGAATGTGGATAGAGAATTCACGTAAAAATTATGATAGGAGATATAGATGAACATTGTAATATCTCACACATGGAAACTTTTACAAGGAAAACTGAGAAACGTACACATATTCACAGTACAGTATCACACTATGAACTTAATGGCAATAACGACTTTTGTATAACTAAGATAAACTCTTTAACTCTTCTAAATTTTTATGATAATCACAGTTGCTATCTTAACCAATCATATCACAAAATACTAATAAAGATGCGTGCCTCTGAGGCCCGCCCTACACGTAAAAAACACGTCCCTTCATTCTGCATAGCTTCATTTTTTCTTATTGCTGTAACAAATTACTATCCATCAAAAATGTTACATGAAACTGTATTTGTTCTCATCTAAATTAGAACGATGTAAGTGCGTGCACATTTATATTAGGGGATTGTAGTACTGTACATATGTCATTTAGTAGGAGGAGGAGGAGGAGGCCTGGTCGAGGATCATGCCGCAGGAACATTGAGCCCCAAAATCATTGCAAGGTAATGGCAAGTTAGTATTTTTGAGGGTGGAGGTCTGGCTGGGCAAGTATAGGGAACCACAATTCATCTCTCACTGTGTAAGCAATGTAAAATAAAATCCATTTGTAAAATATGTAAAATATGATCCATTTCAGCAAATCAAATTTTTAATCAGTTAAGTAATTATTCTACTGCAATTTAAGCAGTCGATAAAATTTTCACCAGCAATTCGGTAGATAACTACACGACAACCTGTTGGAGAGTTCAAGGATGACTGTCCCTGTGGCCCAGTCTCTGACCAGGCTACTTGGTTGCCGGTCTGATCAACCAGGCTGTTTGATGCAATTGCTCACAGCCTGACATACGAGTCACAGCTTGGTTGATCAGGTATACATGTCAAATGCTGAATAAATCTGGTTTGCAATGAGTAACGTATTTTTTAAAAGCTAGACAAGATGTGATTATGTTTTTTCCTGTTGTATTTATAGTCAGTCATCACTAGGAAACAGTGACTAGTCTGAGTTTTTATTTGATTACAAATTCCTACATCATAAGCAGGTGCAAACTGCCTGTATTTCATTTGACCAAGTCTTCCACTAGTCAGCATATTGGCTGTAACTCACATGTTGTTTGGATACTGTTAATGTAAACCAGCTGGAGAGAGAGAGAGAGAGAGAACAAGTTTTTGGAATGTGTACAATATTTCAACTTCACATGTCACTTTTATAGAAAAGTTTTGGAGGTATAGAAGAGCATATCACATTTCTACATTACAACACATAACATTATTCCTTTTAATTACTGTATACTTAAGTTATGTTGCAGCCCATCCACCTGTTTTAGGTAGTTCTTATAGTAATGACGACGACCATTGTACATTTTATATATTGACATAAAAGGCAATTAGAAAGTAAAAATCAGTACTATTGAATTTGGACAAACCAGAAAAGTTTTTGTACTGATGTTGCAAAGAAAACTTAACCTAACCTCACCTTTCTAGGCCTAATACATCTGAGGGCCTAAAAGAGTACATACATGTGCTACATTAGGCCTAGGAATATTTAAGTATGGTTGACCAGACCACACACTAGAAAGTGAAGGGACGATGATGTTTCGGTCCGTCCTGGACCATTCTCAAGTTGATCGACTTGAGAATGGTCCAGGACGGACCGAAACGTTGTCATCCCTTCACTTTCTAGTGTGTGGTCTGGTCAACATACTTTAGCCACATTATTGTGACTCATCACCTGCATTTAAGTTTGGTTTTAACCTTTATTTTTTCCTGACTATGAGGTGAATAGAACCAAATTCTACTATCTAATTGTTCATTACGTCTATGTACGTACAATGGTCAAAATAGTTACAAAAAGTATTATCTAAACAGGAGGACGGGTTGTATGTTGAGATGTATGCTGTCGGCAGCACCTAACTTGTGTATACTACTGATTAAAAAACACATCATCAAATGTATTGTACCAGAACATTCTTTCCACATCACTGAGAAATAAACCACACACATCGGGAGAAAAAAAACAAAACAGCTTTGTAAGATATATCAGAAATGACACTTTGATAATTGAATGCATGAATTTTCAAGTTAAAAAGTTACCATTATTGTGTGGTATATTCTTTCTAAAACAACATGCATGTAATATTAAAAAAAAAAAAGTAAAGCTGAATATATATTAAGACATGCATGACTTTGATCTCTGTACTGTCTTCAGAGAGAATTAGAGTTGTTGACCAACACCTACGGGCATTTAGTTCTTCTCCCAAGGTCTGCATTTTACTTTATGAACTCACATTTACACCCCATGCACCAGTTTTCCTTAACTAGAACAACACAGAGACGAGGAGAGAGGGCACGGCAACAGACTGCACCACATAGCTTCTCAAAACTATGCTCAAATGACTATCCGTAATCAAATGTTGCATATCCATTTAGAGGCCTTCCTAACATTGTCCTAAATTATATCACAAATATCTGTGTTTGAAAATTTGTACAAGTACTCCCTTTCTTGAAAGCAATAGAACTTTGAGGGAAGAATGTTACCTCCGAGCTTCAGTAGATATATATATCGGGATATGGCAATTGATAATTTGAAGATGTTGAGGCGAGTCCAGCAGCAGTGTCACACGACATGGCTGTGGTTGGCTGTGCTGGTGGGCAGGAGGGAGGAAGCCGGTTGAAGATCTCGGTGAGTTTGTTTTGAAGAATATCTGGTTGCTGAGACAAGAAATATTCATTTTAAGAAAATCATGTACGTTGATTTGCAAGTAGTTTATATTTCAATAATGAGAAACTGAAACAAGAACCGAGACAAGAAATATTCATTTTAAGAAAATCATATACGTTGATTTGCAAGTAGTTTATATTTCAATAATGAGAAACTGAAACAAGAACTAAGACATGCCTTTCACCGACAAGACATTGTAGAGGATAACAAGGAGTTTGAAAAGTACATTTTGAGGAATAAAAGCAAAATAAGTTAATAGTTTAATTATGATCTACACTTGGGTGGCTGAAAGGTCAACAGCAGATCCAAATTTATGTCCACACAGACAAAGGTGCACGGCAGTTTAATCAAGTATTACTGCTAGAGAGACTGTGCCGACATGATGGTTTATCAATTTAACTCTTTCAGAAGCACACTTCTTACCGATATATATAGTGTTAATATATCAACTACTTTACAGCTCAGTACAGCTTAACCAACCTTAGCCTGAATCTTGGCCACCAGGGCTTCAAAAGACTCGGTCATAAAGGCCTCTGTGATCTGCCTGCGTCGTTCCTCCTCCGCCTTCCTCTTCTGCTCGGGACTTTCCGTCAGCACCTTCTTCAGGGATTCAAAAGTGATTTCTTCTTCCAGTGTTCGCTGCAAATACAGTACATTTCTATCTTACTGTTACTTATATTTTTAGCCAATTTATTTTAAGTCATCAGGCAACACAAAATTTCAAGTAAAAATCAGACTTAAAGCTTAAATTGTCAAGACATATACATATAAGAGCACATGGGACAAACAGCTAAGTGACAGGGACTAAAGAGCTATATCCCGCTCCACAATACAAGAGCACATGGTATAAACTACTAGGTGACAGGGACTAAAGAGCTATATCCCGTTCCACAATACAAGAGCACATGGTATAAACTACTAGGTGACAGGGACTAAAGAGCTATATCCCGCTCCACAATACAAGAGCACATGGTATAAACTACTAGGTGACAGGGACTAAAGAGCTATATCCCGCTCCACAATACAAGAGCACATGGTATAAACTACTAGGTGACAGGGACTAAAGAGCTATATCCCGCTCCACAATACAAGAGCACATGGTATAAACTACTAGGTGACAGGGACTAAAGAGCTATATCCCGTTCCACAATACAAGAGCACATGGTATAAACTACTAGGTGACAGGGACTAAAGAGCTATATCCCGCTCCACAATACAAGAGCACATGGTATAAACTACTAGGTGACAGGGACTAAAGAGCTATATCCCGTTCCACAATACAAGAGCACATGGTATAAACTACTAGGTGACAGGGACTAAAGAGCTATATCACGCTCCACCATATAACACATGGGACAAACAGCTAAGTGATAGGGTCTAAAGTGCTATATCCCACTCTACAATATAAGAACACATGGTATAAAAGGCTAGGTGACAGGGACTAAAGAGCTATATCCCGCTCCACCATAGTCCCTGGCTAGCCACGCCACTCACACAAGTACAGATACTACTATGGAGAAATCAAACCAGTCCTCATTCTGACAGTTTTATGATTGGCTTCATTTAACCCATCTCAACCTTATTCAGTTAATAATTATTTCTTAGACTTTTGTCTCATTTTCTCTGAACTGTATCATTCCACTTCTTTCCTTCCAGTCCAACTGATATATGTATGTTGAGGCTGCCCTCAATCTCAACACTCATCTTTTGAAATACTAAACATGTGTCAAGAGCTAAGTCTTTCAGCGTGTGTTTGTAGCGCTGCTTCAACTTGTCTACCATTTGAAGGCTTGACATAATTAAGAAAGCATCTACCAGAGACCAAACCACGAAGAAACTGAATTCACAAGACAAAGGAAACCTAACCTCAAGGGAAACAGATAAACAAATTAGCAATGACTTAATCTTTACTTGTGCCTTTCAATCATTATTTGATCCATTTCTTTGATTTTCTACTTACAAATGTTTGCTTTGAGGCAATACAGTGGCTAAGCATATCAACAATGAACCCGTAAAATGGGAATTAGTACTGGATTAGTTGAGATTCCAGCCAGCATTAGTCAATTATCAACTACAACTTGATAACACTCCTGGGTAGACTGAAACCTCAACCTTTTTTCTCTCTAATTTGAGTTTATTGTTTCTAGTCTTGCTCCTAAAAGCCATCCCTCATGCAGTATTCAAAGCAATATCAATGATTAAAGTCTTGAATGCCCCCAATTACCTTAAATGTCTGGGGAAAATTATAAATAAAGCTTTTCCCTAGTCCTATGATCACCATAGGAGTTACCTTAGTCCCATACTCACCCCTAGGAAGTCCCATAGTTCCATACTCACCCTAGGAAGTCCCATAGTTCCATACTCACCCTAGGAAGTCCCATAGTTCCATACTCACCCTAGGAAGTCCCATAGTCCCATACTCACCCTAGGAAGTCCTGGAGAGGAGCAGGCACTGTCCACCTCAACACTGATAGAGTTAATATCCATGGCAGATGAGGTGTTCTGTGCTGTAGAATGCCGCCTCATGATGCTCGAGACGCTGGCATTCAGACGCTTCTCATCCAGGCTATGGATTAAAAAGATGAATTCTACATTAATCTGTAATTATGCAGATTTTTCCCCATATACCGGTATATATACTGACAAGTACATACATATTGTAGTATTTTGGCACATATACTTATAAGGCTATACAGTATATATAATCTACACATGTAAAACACTGAGAATAAGTGAACAGAGTTTTCCCCATACTAATAATGCAGTTCATCATAATTTACTGTGTATGAAATCAACTACAAAAAATCATATGCAAATGACAGTTCAGTCCTTCCCAACTGACCTACCACAAAATACAATGACTAAACCACACACCAGAAGATGAGATGATAACGTTTTGCTCCGTCCAGGACCATTATCAAGTCGATTGTGACTTTACTTGATAATGATCCAGGACGGATTGAAACGTCGTCGTCGTCTCATCTTCTGGTGTGTGGTTTAGTCTTCAGCCACGTTATTGTGACATCGTCTGCACACCACAAAGTACCCTTCAAGCACAATGATAAATTCGCCAATCACCGAGTGAAGCAACGGGTGATTGACTACTAAAACAAAACATAAAATTCAAGTGTGGTTACTTGGTGCCAGTGAGAAGATGGAGAACTTTAGCGTGATCAAACAAGAGCTCCTCCGGCAAGCTACTGTGGGGCAAGTTGGAGTCGTAGTGAGACAACAGCTCTGGCAACAGATGTGGGGCCTTGTCTGACCTGCAAAGCAAAAAACAATGTTTTGTCATCTAGCAGTCAATATTTGACCCAAAGAATGGGTCAAAAGACAAACTGGTGACACGTAGGTCTAATGTTCTCCATACAAACTGCACACATCCGAGGCACTCAATGCTTTATTGTCATTCAAACGGGTATATAAACAAGTTGAATTTGGAATAGGACCTTTGTTTGATAACTGCAGAAACATGATCCTTGAGGGTGGCCACCAGGTGAGAGATGACCATCATGACGGAGGCCACCAGCGTGTGCAGCTGTATTGCTGCCACCGCACTTACTGCTCCTCCCTGTGCCATGCCCTGAAAATATGTCCAGTTATATAAATGTATGTCAATCTTACTCTATTTTCTGTCTTTAACACAATGGGGGTGGATTAAACATCTATTTCTACTTATCTTAACCACTGTACTGCACAGAGCGCCCTGAGAGTTTTTTTTTTTAATTAAGCTACATTTTAAAGTTTTTTAATGTTTTCATCACTCTTTGTGTTTTGAAATGAAAATGGTTGAGTTAGGAAACATTTTGACATTAACTTTACCTGAACATTTATAAAAACAACAAAAATATGTCCTTGACAATGGCACTAAGAAGTTTTTGCTGAAACCGGGTGCGCAGTGCGGTAGTTAAGCATACATTTATAATATATATCGAGGGAACTAATCTCACATCATCTTGGGTAATTTTCCTTAGAAGGGATTAAAAAATAATTTTCTTGAAAAATCAAGAAAAAGGCTAATGCTATTCAGTGATAACCAGCCTTCCACATTTACTAGTATAACAAGAAGCTATTAATATCGTGCAAGTTATCTTGAGGTTATCTTGAGATCATTTCGGGGTTTTAGTGTCCCTGTGGCCCGGTCTTCGACCAAACCTCCACCCCCAGGAAGCAGCCTGTGACAGCTGACTAACACCCAGGTACCTATTTTACTGCTAGGTAACAGGGGCATAGGGTGAAAGAAACACTGCCCATTGTTTCTCGCCGGTGCCCGGGATTAAACCCGGGACCACAGGATCACAAGTCCAGCGTGCTGTTCGCTTGGCCGACTGGCTCCCTTATCTATCTTATCCCTCCCGGCTTGTAAGATATCTAGACCAACATCTCGGCCAATGCACAGGCAACATGTAAAGTACAACATGTACTCTAAATCTAGACTAGCAAGCACACACACACAAAACAATTAGAATCAATGCTTCCTACTGCAGATTACTGGTGCACTCCAACCTCATTTCCTAATCCTCTTATTGCTTCTCATACCTTACATTTGGTGTAGTTTCCTCTCACATGTACAATATACATTTATATCAAGTTAGTTGTTTACACCTCTACTGAAGCTTTTGAAGATTTTAAGCAAAAAGTGTATGTGTGTATATATATCTTATTTATTATATCCATCTACAAGAGAGACTTTGTCAACTTTTTTTTGGCACGGTGGACTAATGATACACAGTATATGTATACAGTATACTGTATAGTATATCTTGTGCTTCTTGTGTACATCTTTGTGTCTCATTACCTTCATACTAATCAGTTTGTTAATGTTGATTGTGCACAGTAGTGGCTTGGCTCTCTGAGGCCAGCCCTCTGCCACCTCACTCACATCCTCTGGTGCCTGGACCTGGCACCTAGTTGTTTGTTGCCGAGGTGCAGCGGGTACAATCACCCGGTTCATCATCATCATCTTCGTTTTCATCATCATCGTCGTCATCATCATCGTTGCCACCTTTATCTTTTCTCCTCTCTTCCTCTTTTACTTTCACATTTTTTTGAAACAGAAAGAACTTTTTCAGTGTCAGAGTAGTTAACATGTGGAATGCACTAGGCAGTGATGTGGTGAAGGCTGACTCCATACACAGTTTCAAATATAGATATGATAGAGCCCAATAGGCTCAGGAACCTGTACACCAGTTGATTAACAGTCGAGAGGTGGGACCAAAGAGCCAGAGCTTAACCCCCGCAAGCACAACTAATCGAGTACATTTAGGTAATTACACTTAGATAATTACACACACACACAGGGGAGGTCTGGTAGCTGAATGGACAGCGCGCAGGACTTGTAACTCTGTGGCCCGGGTTCGATTCCAGAACCAGGCAAAAACAAATGGGCAAAATTTCTTTCACCCTGAATGCCCCTGTTACCTAGCAGTAAATAGGTACCTAGGAGTTAAACAGCTGTTATGGAGCTGCTTCCTGGGGGTGTGTATGTGGGTGGAAAAAAAATAATAAATAAATATATTAGTTAGTTACAGTTAATTGAGAGTTGAGAGGCGGGCCAAAAGAGCAGAGCTCAACCCCCGCAAGCACAACTAGGTGAATACATGCATGCACACACTTAGGTAATTACACACACACATACTGATGAAAACAATACCTGTATGTGGAACAGAACCCTGAGGATGTCAACGATGACATCATCGCAGCGGATCTCTGTCAGAAGGAGCATCAGGGTGGCATACAGGGCCTCTATGTTGGCCAGCGTGTTGTTGGCAAACTCGCAATTCTCCTGGATCGACAGCAAAAGCTCATTGCCAGATTTCTTCCAGAAGTTCACATCTTGCCGCACAGGTTTTCCTAGTGTGAGTCCCAGGCGGGTCACCTCCAGACTGTATGATGAAAAAATAAAAAATAGTTGTGCTGTTCGAGGCAAATGGATTTAATTTTAGAATAAAAATCTAAGAGGCAATGGCAGAATATCATTCAGTATTTTAATAATGAACGTGCATCATTCAATATTAAAGTTTAAATACAACACATCTGCTGGAAAAGTTTGCCTCGCATTATAAACAACCTATCCATGATAACTCTTAAACAAATACCTATTCCATTTTAGAAGTTTGTGTTGAGTGAGACATTGGCCTCTTGAAAATCTTTGTGCAAATTAAACTAAGTTACTATACAAGGCAGAATACAATTTCAGATACTTTCCAAAGTTTCCTTTTGTCAATCTTCTCTTAAAAAAAGTACACACGGAAGACAATATTTGAACGTTTCTGCTATCTCTTCAACAGAATCTAAACAAGTTTTAAATATTCAACAATGTTGTACAGACAATTTTTATATGAAATCGAGATGGTGAGGGTGGAGGGAACAAGTAATTATAGACACTGGGATCAGCTTGCATATTATTATTTACTGGCAGTCATCTGTGGCAGCATCTTGTGCAATGGAGACGTCCGAGTGTAATATCTCGAGTGTGACATAAGTGTGAAGTATGGAGGGAAGGGAACTATCAGGAGAAAATACTAAGCCATTATGACTACAGTATATAGCACTTGGGAAGGATCAGGATAAGGATTTGGGACGGGGAAAAGGAATGGTGCCCAATCACTGGGGACGGTCGGGGACTGTACTCAGACCTGCATGAAACAAGCTCGTCACTCTATTGTCCAGCCCAAGTGTGGCAAGTGTGTAAAGTTTGGTGTGTGATGTGTAATTATGTAAGAGTAGTTACAGGATGAGATCTATACAGTACTGCTCTAGGATAAATATCCGCGAGTTACTTACGTGGGTTTGGTGAGCTTCTCAATATTTTGGTGTCTGTCAATAAGTGTGTGCAAGATCTGTTGCACAGTAAGACGCACTTCTGGGTCACTCGACACCGACAACCTCATCAGACGGACCAAGAATGATGGGGCAAAGGTCTTCGAGTACTGCTCTGTTGTGTACTTGGTACCAACCTATAACAATAGTTTGTATTAAGTACTGGCAATATTAGCAATTTTGTTTACCGCAAAAATCAATTTAAAATACTTTAATTCAAACACACGTATTAAATTAGCTTGGTATGAAGATAGACTAAGAACTGGAAAATGAGAATGAAGTGACGGAACCGAGTCCACCCACATTGATAACTGAAATCGAATCCCAACCAGCAATAATCAGTCATTGCTGTACAATATATCGTCTTACAATGTGGAAGGTTAAGTTTTGAATGTACAAGTTATAAATTATAGTGATTAAAACAGATGTAACTATTATTGTCAGAAAAAAATCCAATATATTATCACTACCCTTTTTCACCTTTAAGGAGTGTAGCATTAGCAAGAAAAATTATAACAGTGAAAACAGGCTTTAGATACAATAGTAATGGGATTAACAGCTTCTTTTCACTATACCTGTATTGCATTTGCCTTTTTCTCCTATATATGAATCGTGTTATACTATATATAGGATTATAAACCCTTGGAACCGCCTACCCGCAAAAGCCGTAAATGCCAAAACCCTGCTGAATTTTAAAATCCAACTCGACAAAATCATTAAGACAAATGGGGGGAGGGAGACCTTTGACAAGCTGCTGGCTTCCTGTTCTTGTCAAAGCCATTAAGAGTTAGTGGCCCCTCAGGTAAATTCGGGTAAATAAGCACCATTACACTCCAGTACCATGAAGTGCAATACAGTATTGTAAATGGAAAGGTTAATGGTGAATTATCTCTCCATTAAAATTACAAATAGCAGCTTCTCTATCACTTTAATATTCTGTATTTTTGTTTATAATTATTTTGCGAGACTTTACAATTTTAAGTAATGAACTTGTGCATAATGCAAATGAGAAAAATCCATCTATTTATAGCAAACATTAAGTATATTACCTGTTCAAAGGTACAAGCCTGTCTTTAACAAAAAGTTGAATCTGTAGATTTTGTTTGTATATATTCTTACTTTATTTGGCTTACCTCATAAAATATGAGTATAAAACTTATCTCAATGACTCAATTCTCATGATGATTTTTTATAGTGAACAGCAGAATAGCTTAATTCATCTTCACCAGCTTCTCCCACATATCAACCTACCCTGGCTTTGCACCCTGGAGAGGCCACTCCGGACCGACAACCAGAGCGTAACTCCATAGTCTCCTGAGACTGATGGATGCCTACTATATTACTACCTCTGTGTGATGACTGGGCAAGATGAACATCTCTAGACTTAAGGGGAGGGCTCTTGCTCTCAATAGAATTGAGAACAGTTGAACTACATACCTTGAGTAATGACTTGAGGAGGAGGTGCTGCAGCTTGACCTCTGCCTCTGGCCTTGTCGACCCTCCGTCATCCACTCTATCACTGCCGGGAACCTGAGAGAGCGAATGTGTATAATTACCAAAGTGTAGGTTATGGCAAGTGTTATCAAATGTAGTGTGTATCAGTGTTATCGAGTGTATTGGTGGTTTAACCAATGTTTTAGGTCCAGAGAAGTAGTAATTCTTCCAAATTTATATAGATTAAATATTCTGTACAGCACAGGAAAGGCACAGCACTGGGTTATTGCCAAAGTAGGAGATTTAGGATAGAATAAAGTAATTTTAACATGAGATATTTGTAGAGAAGACATATTTCAGAGCCATGATACTAAGGGTCATAGACGCTGAAGATATGGAGGACGACAGTAACAAGAAAATACTTCGACAGAGGAGTGGATGTTAGGAAAATCAACTGAATACGGACTTGCGACAAAGAAAGATAAGCCAGCAATACACCAGTAGACATGTACATCAAGAAAGTAGAAAAGACAGATTTCCATTTAACTTCCAAAGAAAAAAAAAAGATTGTTAAGAGAAATAATAGAGGGTTAGAAGACAAACTATGTGGGATGTTGCCATGGTGATGTCTAGCCTCCCTGTTGCTACATGGGATGTTCCCATGGTGATGTCTAGCCTCCCTGTTGCTACATGGGATGTTGCCATGGCGATGTCTAGCCTCCCTGTTGCTACATGGGATGTTGCCATGGTGATGTCTAGCCTCCCTGTTGCTACATGGGATGTTGCCATGGTGATGTCTAGCCTCCCTGTTGCTACATGGGATGTTGCCATGGTGATGAGTCATACGGCCAGATAGTGACGATATTGAATTTCAAGAAACATAAAATCTCACATGTTGTACTACTCCAGCATCCCCATAACATAAATCACAAAAATCTAAAGTTTACCAAACAAACACTTCTGATTTAGTTCCTCTACACACATTCTGAATAATAACAGCTTTAAATTACTACATTTAATCACCTGGCTTTCTACAGTTGTTTTCTGTGGTTCTTGAATCAAATGAAAGTATTAAACAATAAAAACCTGTGAAGAAACTTCTGCTGTGGCCAGCCCTAAATGAAGAGCTCCTAGAAGGTAGTAAGGTGCTGGGGCCATAGATACACAGTGGACACAATTTTTCATATACCATCTTGATCTGTAAATCTACTCATAGCCATTAACTCCAAAGAATTTATAGTCTTCACGCAGAGGCAGACAGACACAGAGCACTGTGGGTATAGCCTTCACAGGTCTTGCTCTTCAAGGGATAAATAAATAAATAAAAAAAAAGTTAATCGAATACAAGTACGTCCACCTGACACACGCACTGAACTATATGCTGTACCTTGTTGAGAATAAACACCATCGAGTCAATCTTCTGATAGTCAGGAAGGTGGTTGGCATACTCTCCTAAGGCATGGATGAGTGTTTCCTGGTAGATCTTCTCAGCCGATCCTTCCTTCCCGCTTGTCCCGCCCACAACCGATGATCGGATGTGCTCCAACAAAGAGTTGATAATTTCAATAACAGACGGACCTGAAAACCTTATCACATTAAATATGAAAATGCAATGAATATAAAATACAAATGTGGAAAAAAGAAATTGCACTGTAATAGTGGTCCAGTACCCCAAAGCAACACTCCAGCAAGGATATAATAATAAATGTATTAATGATGTATTATTAAATGCATTATTATATAATAAATGTATAATAATAAATGCACAATATAATCATACAAAATGTTTAATGTTTAGTGCTGGTTCTGGTCTGCATATTGAGCTTTGAGAGTCGTCTAAAAACCATTTCAAATACCAGTAATCTATTTTTTCTTCCAATCCGAGTCAGTAATTTTGTTGCATTAAGTATTACCCCAAAAATTTATTAACTACCAGGTAATTAAAACTCCCATATTAATCTTAAAATATGCTCAAATTGCTATGCTTGATTACTTTTTATAAAAAATCTAAATGTCTATGAAAACCTTGTAATCATGTTCTCTAATGTTTTTATAAATAAATTCTAATTCATCTTCTCATTAAAGCTATTTCACCATCAGAGATAAAACTAACGTCTCCCACTCTCCAATTAATCAGCTTTCTTACTTATACTGAAAAGGTTTTACCCAAGTTTATATACAACTTCATTATAAAATGCACTTTCAGAAGAGATGTAATAAGGACACAAATTTGTTTGAAATTTTTTCATGTTTGTTATTTTACTTTTGATCAATAATCCCAAAATAGGATATAGTCTGATTTCTTATATGATTATATTTATTCATTCATAATTATTATCACATTTCCTACCTTTATGGGGCAGGGGAAACATGGAATAAAGTTGTTAAAGAAGATTACAGATATAAAATAAAAATATCACTCGTCCATTTCACAAAGTAATCACACTGACATGATTCATCAATGAGTAAATTCGTAGGAGCCATGATGAAGTGCGTGGGAATACCCACCGCATAGTTTCCAATCTTCATCGCGGCTCCTACAGATTTACTCGTCCATTTCTTATATCATTCACATTACTGTATATGGCATGACGAGTGATATTCCACCACCGCACTCCAGCAGCAACTCACAGCAACGTCAAACCCTGATCACCATTATCTACACTTTCATACTCGTATACTAATTCTCTCACGCAAATTTTCAGTTACAGCCCCACTTCTGTGCCATGTAAGTCCACTACGGGATAACCATAGCCCGTGCTACTTGGAACTTCTGGTTCCGAGAAGCTGAATCTAAAACATAACCATCAAATTTTCAACTTTTATTTTCTACAGAATCTCATCTTACACAGCACTAAAGTGTAGTCAGACAAACCTCCAGATATTCCTTTCACAACCTTCACAACAAACATCCACATTAGTCAATGCCGTATTCACATATTTACGCCACTGATGTACCGTATATATTATATCTATTTCAAGGGTTGAGTACATAATAATTGTAGGAAGTATAATGTAACATGACAAAGATATCACCATAATGTGATGTATTTACAAGAAACTATTGAGGTAATGGGGTGGGATAGACCACCCATTTCTGGACTTCCACGATGCACACACATACACACACAAAACTAGAAGATAGAAGGAAAAGAGGCAATATGATCACTACTGTATGTACAAAATAGTAACAGGAATTGATAAAAATGATAGGGAAGAATTCCCAAGATCTAGAACTTCAAGAACAAAAGGTCACAGATTTTAACTAATTAAACAAAGCTGCCAAAGAAATATAAGAAAATTCACATTCGCAAACAGAGTGGTAGACAGTTGGAACAAGTTAGGTGAGAAGTAGGTGGAGGCCAAAACTGTAAGTACAGTAGTTTCAAAGCATTATATGACAATGCTGGAAAGCTGGGACACGATGAGCGTAGCTCTCATCCTGTAACTACAGTTAGGCGCGCATGCATGCACACGCACACAAATACACCGATGACAAAACCACAACTCCGAAGATGGAGAAGCGATGACGTTTCGGTCCGTCCTGGACTATAATCAAGTCGTGTCATCATTTGGTCATAACAAAATGACTAAATGACACATGGTCATCATTTGGTCATTTTGGTTTAGTCATCATTTTTTCAGCCATGTTATTGTGACTCATCGTCTGCACACACACACACACCACTGTACTGTACTGTATTTATTATTCCATGTAAACAGTTGTCCATTGTGTAATTTGGGGCTAAAGGCTAAAAGATGTATTTGACGTATATGCAGTCAAATTTATATATATATAAACAATTATGAATGTGTTCTTATAAAATGTGAGGAGGGAAAAGTAATGCTGGAAATTTGTACGAATAGGAATCTACAAGACAGAGGTTCTTTATTTACCAATGCATTCTCCAGCTGCAATGGGGATGATTTTGGACAACACATCGGCAATGCCTGTGCGAATCTGAGCCGGTTCAGAGCTCTTCTCGTTGAGGTGAGCCATGATCAGTTCAATCACCGTTATACTGTACTGCACCTAAAGTCAAATATATAGAGGAAAACATTTGAAGTATCATAAAACAAATATTGGATGTACTGTACTATATAATAAATCAATACTGGATAAAACATTGGAAGTACAAGTGCATAATATGATAAAATATTTGATGTATGATAAAACATGGGAAGAATGATAACTACAAACATGGGAAGGATGATAACTAAAAACATGGATAATTTTAACCTTTTTGGAATTCTAGTTTCTCCTACATTCAACATTTATAAGTGGTTTCATTTTAAGAGTATTTTTTTTTACTTTATTTTGAAGGCATCTTTTAAAAATGCCCTCAACACCCACACACACACACACACACACCAGGTGTTCATCTATTATCTTCATTTGGTACTGGGAGGTGCCAGCTCTCTTGTCAAGTTCTCGAGCATCATCTGGGGCTTGAACTTTGTCTATGCTGTTTTCCCCGGCATAGCATGTAGTTCAGTGTGCTCTACAGGTTGTTCTGTCAGCAACTCTCCATCAGCGCTGGCATCGATGGCGAGTGCTTCCTTCACCCTACAATCTCTCCTGCAATGCAGGTTTCGTCTTTGGACTTTTTAAGAATTTGTCTGTAGCAGTTTCCATTCCTAGCATTGTTCGCATACTCGTTCAATGTGGGTTGGGATTTTGTTTTCAACTGATGCCATGGTGGAAAAAGGCAATCTCTGGCATTGATATACAGTATTCTAGAGATGATGCCAGTTTGGATGGTGCTTTTGAGCACCTTTCTACTGTGGAGCTTAGCTCACAAGCTGTACTTGGACAATGATCTGGCTCAATTGGGAAGGATCTGCTGGGTCACTACCTTTATAGCATTGAATTGTAACCTGTCATGCTTTGGACTTCTCTGTGTTTATTCTTCACTATGGTACACATTCAGGGTTTTTTAAATGAGTTTACAAATGGTCTCTCTATCTCTTGTCTAATTGGTGTTAAATGGAGAGTAGAAGAGGCCTCTTTTCTTTGGAGATGCATCACACCACATTACCATCCTCAGTTGGACAGTTTTCTGCTCCCCTTTTCCCTCTTTAGATCATAAGCCTCCTATGTGGCACCATTCCGGTCCCAGTTAACATTCACATTGCATGTGCCGAGACACAAATGAATCCGTTGGTAGATGATTTATCCATTTTTTCTCCATTTTTTATCCTGCTCCAATCCTACTCAAGTTAGAAAGCTCTGCCAGCCATACAATTTTTTTGGCTTTCTTGTGGCAGGTTTTAGCCCCTCTCACAACCTTCTTGTGGCAGGTTGAGAGTTGCATCAACAACAATCCTGGGAAAGGTCAGTAGTTGACAACGGAGAACCTTAATAACAGGAAATATTACAAAATTATTTACCTGTATAGAGAACATAAGAATCTTGAACACCTGAACGGCAAAGCAATTGTTAACCCACAATCCTTCATGATCCAGGTGGCTGCAACAAAGAAAAAGGGAATATTTTAGCTTATGGTGTATTACTAAATTTAATCCCTATTAAAAATTTTGTGTGAAAAATGTCCAAAAAGGTAAATTAAAAAATATTGCTTCAACTATACATCATATTTCATTATTATGAGGCATATTGTTAAGCTCAAATCTTCAGTAACTTCTTAATACTTTATGTATTAACATAAGAGAACATTAAATAGTAGCAAAGCAAATTTGAATGTGAAGACAAACATTAAGACTGTTTTTACATTGTGTTATTAAATAATTCCTTAGGAATGTAAATTTAAATGTTAAATTCATTTTACCTTCAAAATATTTACCAGGTAAAGTTCTATTCCTATACAGTAGTCATCTTAGGATAAAAATGATGAGAAAAATTTCCCACACTTTTTACCAAAAACAAATGCGGCCTATGATAACAGTACTGTATCCTGCAGATACTTACTCAAATATCATGTACAGTATATATATATTTAATTCATTAAAACATTTCTGTAGATTTGAAGGTTAATACAGTATTTTTTTAAACAATTATCTGATATACATCAGCAAATTCTCATATTAAACACCCCAAAATCATGCTACATTTAATAAAATGATATAACTGTATCAGTTTGGATACCTTATACTGTATATACAACAATCCAATTAATTTTTTTGTAAAGTAATAATCAAATTTATATTCAAGTGTAGTCCCCAAGCTTACATTAGCAGCGGCTTCACCACATTGTGTATCTTGCCGTAAGTGGCTCGCGAGACCAGTTCCCTGAGGCACATCTCCGCTAACTCGTGGGGTTGTCTCTCACCCTCCGTCTGGTGGGTGTCGGGGGCATCACCAGTCTGCGTCATGCCCTGCCAAAGGAGACAACAATGCTAAGAAGGCTGCAAGAAAGAGAACAAAGCTCGGGGCTGGACACATGAACATAGGACAAAATAAATGCAACTGATGGAATGGACTTTGATTTGATAGAAATACCTGTACTGCAATTATGATCAAAGACAGTGAAAAAAAAAGTAAATAAAAAGTAAATAAAAAATATTTCTTATTTTATTTATACAGTGTATATACAAGAGATCTTACGTTCTTGTAAAGCCACTAGCACACATTGCATTTTGGACAGGTCCTTAGTCCTAATTTTCCCAGGAATATGACCCACCAAATCATTTAACAACCAGGTACCCATTCACTAATGGGTGAACAGAGGCATACAGTTAAGAATTGGCGGCTTGTCAATCCTTCCCAGCCAGGATACAAATCCAGGCCAAATCACTCCTGAAGCGCAGGGCAAGCATTTTACCACTGTCACGGGGTAAGTAAGTACTGTAGTAAGTGAAACAGAAGTAAGAACTGTTTCATCCTTTGAGTGATAACACTAGACTGCTTACAGGGTTTCATGATGGCATTCAAGTAATATTCTTGAAGATTTCCTATGAATGTACTACATATTGCACAAATATTTAGTTCCTACTTGTAAGTACTTTCAAATTTTTAGGTCACTTTATTTGAATAGAATTTTCACATGCATATATAACCAAACACGAGGCAAATCAATGTCATTAATTTCCCGAACTGCTTCTTTGGTTTTTGCTGCCGCCTTCATGAGCTAGTTTCGAGTCTATGTTAAGAGATACAGTTTGTTATACCTCAAATGCTTAGTGTATATGTCACCTTACATAATATACAATTTCTGTACCTACTAATTAATCATTAATACGTTCTTATGTATGCAGCATTTTGTAAATAAATTATTATAATTATTATTATTACGTGTGATAGTTATCTCAAACAAATATACTTATAGAATACAAAATTAAGTGTTTACAGAAAGCTCTGTACAAATTAAAGAAATGATGGGCAGAAATGTTTCTTTAGCTGCCTTTTAGTTCTAAACTTTAAAATGGTAATTATATTTAGCAATTCTAATTCTAATATTTTTAATAAATTCTAAAAAAATCCATTATGTTTCAATTATGTTTGAAAAAAATTGATTTTAATGCTCTTGAAATATTCTTGACAAAGAATATTTCAATGCATTATAATCAACCAAACACTATTTTGTTACTATATCAAATTACTTTCTAAATTAATTATATATTGGCTTAAAGTGACCATAAAGGACTTTTTTTTCCATACAAATTATTCATTCATTATCTAACACTCTACAGGGGAAACCTGCATCACAGTAGCTAGCACAGCAGTCACAACTCAAAGGTCCCAAGTTCAATTCCCACGGCAGGACACACACATTTGGACAAGTTCCCTTTCACTTGATGCTCCCGTTCACACAGCAGTAAATAGGTACCTGGGAGTTAGGCAACTGTTGTGTTGTTGCATCCTGGGGAAGGGCAGTAATTGGCCTAGGAGGAAACCAATAGGAAAACAAACAAAACCAATCACTTATAGTACTCGGTTCTACAGAGCACAAATACAGGGAAACACTAAATCATACAGGTACATACTTCAATATATGATTCATTTCCCTGCATGTTGTAAAGGAGAGAGGGAACAATCTTCTCCATGTGTGTTGGCAGCCAGATGTTTTCTCCAAGGTTGTCCCAATCTGTCTTACGAACAACACCCTGTAACACATCAAATTCATCATAAAATATTTCATTTATGAAGCTAACCTATTAATGGTATCATCGATGCAAATTCTTTATGGAAAAGGAATTCTGATACATGCCCTTCAACATTTGTCATTATGATTACTGAATTGAAGAGGCTTACAAACCATTCAAGATTGACGGCGAGTCACAATAACATGGCTAAAGATAGGACAACCAAACCACATATCAGAAGATGTATAAACGACGACGTTTCGGTCCGTCCTGGACCAATATCAAATCGTATGTGGTATGACTTGATAATGATCCAGGCCGGACTGAAACATTGTCGTCTCTCCATCTTGTGGTTTGTGGTTTGGTCACCATTCAAGACAGTTTACCTAAAACTAATATGACTTACTTGAAGACCTTTAATTCCTGCAAGACGTAGTTGCTTTCTAATAACTTCATCATCTTCGTTTGAGTAGCACATCGAAGAGAACTTGCTGACTAGGAAATCGTATCGACGATGATACGAGGGTGTATCCTCTCGAATATTTGCAAATTTTTCAAACTGTAAAAGTCAAGCAGTTATATTAGCAACATGTCACAAAAAAGTTTGCTTTATGCTTTACTTGCATAAGTCAAACAACTCTTCAGTCACACCATAACTAAGAAAAGTGGTGAATTCAACACAACGCAAAGGGAAAATGAAGCCAAATGATAAGGAAAAGATTAAGAGTTCCATAACAAAAATTTTCCGCAAAAATATACAAATTACTGAGAGACAAATAAGAACTTTATCAACTACAAAAAATCAATGCACTTTTATTTAAAACAAAAGATGTTCAAATCTGCAATATAACATCTAGACGTCTACGTGAATAACTCTCACTATCAATCTTCCCATCCATTAACATATATTATTTCAAAAAGAGAAGTACAGAATATGTTTACAAAATTTACAAGTTAAACAAAAGTGAACTAAGAGCTTCCACTAATGTTGATTTCTTCTTTTGAATGTGCTTTGTTGACTTCACGCGATGACCGCTCAAATGACTGTGCCCCTCAAAGAAGCTCCTCATGCTTATCCTTTTACTTCTAAGCACATAAAAATTTAGAAGCCCAGCAGCAGACTTGTTGGCCCATCCTAGGTGGGTTCTGTTTACATTGACAACCTCAACCCCATATACCTATACAATCTATTCTTTAAACCTGCTAAACTGCCTCAGTAATGCTAGCTGGCTGATCATTCTACCCATTTAAATATTTACCTCACTGACACAAGATTCTTTTACTTCTTTCCAATAGGAAACACAACAAATCGACACAAAATTTAAGCAGATGGTATTAAATCTTAACACCTTAAGGTACATATTGTACAGTATAACAAAATATATTTTCTTACAACCTAACCTACGTTTCCAGTAAGATTCTCAAGTAAATGAAACATGGTTAAGTTCTGCACCGGTTTCAAGCAACATGTCGCTGCACAGGTTTTGCCAACAAACATCTCAATTATCAGTTTATATTCTGAATTTGTCAACTACTGAAATGTCAGAGAAAGATTATACGAGGCTTACCATATAGGGAAAAGAAGTTTCTAGAGTGAATTAGCTTCTAATATGTTGGCAGTTATAAACGACAAGTAAATATGTTGGTAAATGTACTTGATACCCAATATAGTGTGTTAATATATGTAGCAGACACCAGTTAATGTTAGCAGAGGTGGCCAACACCGGTTAAGCCACGCATGCTTGTATTTTTTCAAACGAATAACTGCAAGTTCATAAACATAATGATTAGTTGCAGTTCATTAACTGTCATATATTTTTGGGCTTATCCTGAAATTTGAAGGTCCATGCAAATGTTTATGACTGGTATTAAAGAGAAAATTTCCAAGGAAATTTATGTCAAGATGGCATCTATCAACCAGCCCAGTGCTACAACAGTGCATGAAATTGGCTTGAATAAAAGACCACTTAAGATCTGGGAAGGAAATCAAGGACAGCTGAGGACAAGTGACGATAAGAGAATGCGACATGTCTTACTCGAGAAGTCATGAAGCTCAAGTATGAGATCGAGAAAGGCCAGAAAATTTGGATTATTGGCTAGTCATCAGTGAACTGAATTTTCTGCCTTGGGAAGGTATACCAGGCAAATTAATGCACACCACAATTTTGTATCGCAATAGACCCTATATCATCATGTCCAGAAAGATGTGTTGTAAAACTGCTACGCACTCCTGATGAACATTATACTTTCACACATTTATATTTTTGTATTTTTTTTTTTTTTTTTTTTTTGGTGTGGGAGCAAGAGGGGAGGGGGAAGAAGATTTGGAGATCATATAACCCAATCCATTTTCTCACATGATGTAACAAATGTAATTCCTGATCATTAAGTCATGGTACGCCCAGTAACTAGAGAGATGTTTACTGTGAGGTAGAACTTACTGACTGAGTAGCACGGAGCTGCAGTGTCGGTTCGGTTGATTCGAGTAGTTTCTGCACCATTTGTAAGAAGGACTCCACAAACAGGTTAAGGGTGTTGGCATGGCATGAAACCAGCAGCTGATCAAGAGCATCCATAGAGATGATGACATAGCCTGAAAACACGAGAAAGGCATCCATGAGTTATGATTTAACCCACTGTCCCCGCTTACCTCTCAACTATTTTAAATATTGCATGAAATACCCACAAAAAGATAAAAAGTCTAAGAAAATAAACAATTAATTTTTCCTGTTGAATCACTTGCAAAGTATCAGATGAGACCATCTAGCAAAGTACCCATCAATAAAGCATATAATTTCTATATTTAAAATGTAGATTAGCCTGCTAAAAGACTATTTTTTTTTTAGGTTGATTGGCTACAAATTAAAAAAAAATCAGCTGTATAGCATCGCATGTCCATGAACGACCCTCCATCCAATACATCACGAACCATCCAACTGACTCACCCGTCTTTCTTCTATTAATGTCCCGATACAGACGATGTGCTAGGTAATCTCCTATGCGATCCAGCTTGTCTGGAGAGTTCATTGCATACCACATAAGCTTATCCATATTTGATTTAACCAATCCATCCTGCATAAGAAAAGAACAAGATTAGGTCTCTGTTAGTAGCAGAAACACTAATTTTCTGTCAGTATATCCAAATGGTATCTATATAACATCACAAAATAATTAAAAAAAATTACTATAGATTACAAAATGTCTTGAAAGCAACTATGAACTAGTTATGTACAGTACTGTACTGTATTCGATGTTATTGCCCTAAAAAAATAAAATATAGAAATGGATGGCCAAAAATATCACAAGTAAATGGAAAATCAGAGAAAGAAGATTGGAGAAGAAGAAAAGGAGGACAGAAAATAAGAACAAAGATGAAGACGAGAGCAAATGCATAGATCTACGATGATATACAGTACTGTAATTGGGATAAAAACTTTACACTGAAAGACAATCTTTACATAAACAACAAAATCTGATAACATACATATAACAAGACCCATTCACACACACAGATCAAACAAATTCCATTAACCTCCAATCCCCAACTACTTCCTGTGCTCAAATTGCCAAATATGATTTTCCATTATATGTTTTTTTTTAACTATACGTTTTTCATGCGTAACACAATCCAGAACTTTTAAATATCAGAGCAGTTTAAGGGGTTCAAATAACGACACGAATATACGTTTTTCATGCATAACACAATCCAGAACTTTTAAATATCAGAACAGTTTAAGGGTTCAAATAACGGCAAGAATCCCACCTCAGGTACGGCAGGGAAGATGTTGTCCACCAGCCTCTTGTAGCGTGGCCGGAAGGCCGAACAGCACCCGCAACAACCTGCAACACAAACACTAATATAGTCAACCACAATACACGCACAACTGATGCTTTGCAAGCAGTGTGTTCCAAATTGGTTTTACAAAAGTATCTACAAATTTATGTATTTATATACCAAGATACAAAAGAATTACATTTTGAAAACCTGGTTTGCAATGTATGTAAAAATGAGTGAGCCACAAGACCTCATTTTGTATAAGACAGTACTATAGTACAGTACTCTGAACACACTCAAAAAACATGGCTTACCTGGTAACCCATTCACCAGCATGACAGAAAATAAAAGCACATTAATTAGTACTAAGGTACCAATATCACCAGCTACCAAATACTAATGACAAAAGCCACAACACATTCTTAAAAAACAGAACTGAGCACACTATTAAAATATGCAGTAACTCAGGAGACTTGTCATCAACAGGAACACCCTCCAGTTTATCAGGCAGATGTCACTAACAAGCACACTGTATCCAGAAATATATATATCACTTATAATCAGCACCACTAAAAATTACCTTTTCATAAACACAAGCATACATGGGATTTTAGCTTCAAATGGGAAATTTTAGCAGAACAGAGTATTGCACTTCACTTGTGTTGATTACAAATAATTTAATAGCATTAACCCTTTCACCATTGGGTAAAAAGCTCACTATTTGTGCTCATCCCCATTAGTGATCTTTTTGAGCTATATCACTCAGTTGCATCTTATGCAAGATCCTGCTGGTCCATGAACACCAACTACGCAGTCACAGGACAGGCCTACAGTTTGTACCAGAGCAACAGACCTTTTCAACTGCCCTTGTAGGCTCGTACTGATGCAAGGAATACAATGCAGACTCGGACCAACTTAATGTAACATCTAGCAGGTATATTTATGTACAGCACTGTATATCAAAAGCTCTTCTGAACACAACTTGGCATTACAGAGACTGCCCAGGCTGCACTCTTGATAATCACTAGTTTCCTTGTCTGGCCGCTACTTCAAACTGCCTCCATGTGGCCCCCACCTACATATACAGTGTGCAGAATTCCCTGGCTTAAGCCACTTCGCATTCTCACTATGCAGTCAAGTAGGCGGAGAATAAAATGCCTTAGTTAAGCATACATACTTTTTAAGCTTCTTTGACTCATTTGCACTTCCAGCTTCCACCGATGTCCACTTCTTCTATTTTCTCTTATTTTAATTAAAGAGGTTGTCCTTGTACTGTAAATCCTGTCTAATCCTCTCAGTATTTTGTACAGTATCTCTAATGTAAGCTCCATATATTTTCTTGAAAGAGCTTTTGTTCAAATATAAATTACCTTTCTTATGTTTGTCAGAATCCCATATGCCTCTTATGTAATCCTGTTTGTGTGCTCTTCTAGTTTTAGTGATGCAATTATATCCACTCCCAAGTATTTTTCTCCGATTCCTGTAGCTGCCCTTTCTTTATGGTGAAGATTCCTTCTGATCTTCTGATTCCTGATGCCTTTTCTCATCTATATTACTGTACCTAACATTTACTTGGGTTGAACGTTAACAGCCATTTACCTGACCACTCCTGGAGTTCATCAATGTTTTCCTACAGCATTCTACAGTCTCCCTCAGATTTTTTTTTTTTACACAAAGGCAGGTACAAGAGTAGACAACTCCTGACTCCTTTTAGCAGGCTACGAGCTTTCTCTTCCCATAGTTTGTGATAAGCCTTACTCTATGAGTTTTTCCTAGAAAATGACCAATCACTTAGCAACCATGTCCCAAATTACCTGCAAGGTGAACAGAGGTGACCAGTTAAGGATTGGTGCCCAGTCAGTCCTACCTGGTTATCTTGAGATGATTTCGGGGCTTAGCGTCCTCGCGGCCCGGTCCTCGACCAGGCCTCCTTTTTGTTACACATCCCCAGGAAGCAGCCTGTAGCAGCTGTCTAACTCCCAAGTACCTATTTACTGCTAGGTAACAGGGGCATCAGGTGTGAAAGAAACATATTGCCCATTTGTCTCCACCTCCACCAGGGATCAAACCCGGAACCTCAGGACTATGAATCTAAAGCGCTGTCCACCCAACTGTCAGGCGCCCAGTTGGCGCCTGACAGCTGGGTGGTCTTAGTTCCACGGTCAGTGCTCAACCTAAACAAAATCGCTTGCAAGTCATTCTCTAGTGTTTTGCAAGAATGAATGTTAAGCTTGTTTTAATTTAGTGCTTCCTATTTCTTCTTTTTCAATACTGTACAGGGAAAGCATCTGAATTCCTCCAGATTTCTGGGAACCTTCAGTGTAGTGTTTTACCAAAAATTTGACTTAATTTATTTTATAACTCTGAAACCTCTTTCCAACAGCAACAGTGATACCCAACTAGGTCATACTGCCTTCTCTAGTGACTATTATACTGTCTAATGTTGCTTCTGGCTACAGATCATCTCCAGTGCCTTTGTAGCAGTAGGGCAAAACTGCTCTTTCCATATTACTTGATATCCACTTTAAAGATCACATTCTCTTTGGCAAACACAAAATCAGATCAATTGAAGGTGTTCAGCAAGGTGATCCTCTAGCTCCTCTTTTTCTAGTAATTGGAATTAACAAAATTTACAGAGTAGAATTCCTGAAACCTGCAACTTCAAGAACAAGAGGTTAAAGATTGAAACTAAGGAAACAAAGCTGCCAAATGAACATTAGAAATTTAACTTTTGAACACAGTGACAGCTGGAAGGAGTTAAGCGAGGTGGTGAAGGATGCCAAAACTGTCAGGACATAGTTTCAACCATCATATGACAAAGAGTACTGGGAAGACAAGACACCACAAGCATAGCTCTCATCTTGTAACTACACTTACGTAATACTGCATCTTATTTAGTTAAGTACTATTCATTCCCAAGGAGCTGGTAGCTGCATAATATTTGGTTCCTAGGGAGCTGGTAGCTGTGTTTATTTTCAATGGCTTAGTAGCTGCATTATATTTATCATCAAAGAGCATGTAGCTACATCACAGTTTTACCCAAAGGGCTGATGATACATTGTAAGATGTCCGATCATTCTTTGGCCAACAATTTCCCCATATCAAACTTCATGGAGGCAAAGCAGGATAAACAAACATCCTTTCCTTCCCTTTTCCTCTGTGTAAACACATCATATGGTTTACATTAAATGCTTCCTGGTGAAAGGGTCAACTGAAGATTCTGTACAGCCTAATAAAAGCAACTACAGTAAAACACAGGAGTTTTACTGTATACAATATACCTAAAGTTTAATAACTTTCACAGCTTATTACTACATGTACTGTACAGGTATTACTACATGTACTGTACAGGGAAAAAAAGGACTACTGAATATGTTGCACAGACAGTGAACCATCAACCTCCACACTGTTTTCCAATATTCCTGTGCAAAGAAAGGCACACATAGACATCATCACACACACACACAGTGATAATATATTGAACACACTCCTCTAGAACCCTCCTAACATGCTTTGCTGCCCCACACCTCTGTGTATGCCTTCTCCACACCTCCGTGCACGCTTTGCTCACATCTGCGTGTACGCCTTGCCCACACCTGCGTATATACCTTGCCCACACCTACATGCATGACTTCCCCACACCTGCGTGCACGCCTTCTCCACATCATATGTCCACTAAAAAAATTCACAAATCTACAACCAATTATTTCCTGTAGCTAATCTGCACCATTTTTGTTACCACTGCATTCTAAGTCTACGTTATCATTACAGTACTAGATAACCCAATGCAATCACCTACTCCATGAATGCACTACTGTACTATATGCTCGGCCCACAATGGCATAAGGCATGCCACTATATACCACATAGCACTAATATGCAACACCCACTGAGTAGTAGCTCACGTAAAATATGCAAGTGGTCACGTAAATTACTCAGAATTTTACAATATACAGATACTGTACGTTAATTTACCCGACATAACACAATTGCAAAATTATTGTCTTATTGTTCGGTAATGTATTTACATAAAACTATGATTACTTATATCTAATCATTCAAATTAATAATGTGGTAACAGCGGGCACTAACTTATGGTGAACCTTATGTCAAGAATATGATTTTCTTACAATAACTATGGAATTACAAGACTGTGTCAACAGATCTTACTTTGGAGAATACTAAAAAAAAAATAATAATTTGAGTGAACAAATGAAACATGAAGCACTAAGTCTAACCAGGATTCCAGCTCAACCAAGGGGCAGCACTCCTTCATAAAATACAAAACAGCATGGAGTGGGGGCCTCTACAAGACACTATGGAATAAATCGCTGGATAAATTACCTGTAAAAAATCATCTAATTGGGAACAGGGTCCTCTACAGTACTGGAAACTAAAGCTAGAAAATGACAATTCACAAAGGAAGATGACCAACAGGACGCAGGGATTGTCTAACAAGGACTACAGGGGTGATTCACTGACGACGACTAGGAAGAAGACGTGTCCAAAGACTCACATGCAGCATCTGGGCACTTGATAGCCACCGCCTCCACGACATCCGAGAGCCGCTCATGTTTAAAGCAGCATCTCAGAAACGAAGACATTCTTGAGACGACTATTTCTGGATCCCTCAGGGGTGAATTTAAGACATTTTCAACTCACTGCATATTTGTAGACTGCAGGTGGTGGTGGTTGCTTTTTTTAGCCGGTTTTTCAGGTACATTTACCAAGAAAAATATTTTTACTTCCAATTTCCCATAACACAAAGCTTAATTTGAATTATACACTGAATATTTTCTAATTAGTTATCATACAGTATATTGTTTACTGCAAGCATATATCACTACATATGCAAAGACCTTTGGCATTTTCTTGCGCACGTTTTCATCATTATCATAGTCTGCTACTGAAATGTCACTCATTCATCACAGCACTGTATCTTGGTCAAGATCACATTTCACTCGTCGCCAATTTCCAGGATCCTTATTTGCATTCCATCCATGTCACTGTATTGGGCCTTAGGGAGGAATACTACATTAGCCACATCAACTTACCCAAATTAGAAATGTACTGTCTCACGAATTTCATTCTCCAAACTCGGAGACAGGTTCGTTAACTTACATTCACATAGCCAAGAGCTACAAAAACACAAGAACAAAGGCATCTCATGGACATTAATTCACAGCTAACAATTTTTTTAATTAAAGTACAGTACTAAAATGGATATATTTATGCCTATGCAAGAGGATGCAGAAGTAAACTTCTGACTCCTGTTAACAGGCTTAGAGCTTTCGCTTTCCAAAGCTCATGGCTAGCCATATACTACTAGCTTTTCCTTAGAACATGACTTTCAAGGCTGGAAGGACAAGTACATTGCTGTTACAAAAAGCAATTAGCAGAACAGTAGTTATTAACTGTGTAGCTGTTCATCTTCAATCAACATTCATTTGGAACGGAGCATTCTTAGAAACTATTGCAGCTAAAAATGTTCAAAGTTGGATTTAAAGCCGAGAAAATTGCATTAATTATATCTAATGAAGCTAAGTTACAGCTCATTATTAAGATCCTAAACACCCAGAGGTCAAACAACACAATATTTTAAGTGCAGTACATTAGTAGCAATTTTTTCTTATATATATAATATTTAAAACCATTGACTAGTTCTTCTTGGCACATAACCATCCAATTTATGAGATAAAACAGTATAAATGTATGGAATAGGAGCAGCCTTTGTTAAGTCTCTACACATAATTAATTTCTTTAACAATACATCAGGACATTACTTTAAAATCTCGGGTATGACAGGTGTGTGTGCTATAAATAATTATTCTCAACTATCTAATTTAACCATAAAATAAACTTATTCCCTACCAATCTTGAATAATTTAAGCCTGCATCAACTCGCCTGTCCATTCCCCTCCCGCTGAAAAATAAACAAGTAAGGTTGAGGGGAAATTGCCAGCACTTAACCCAGCTGGTGAGGGGGTCCCCCCAAGAGTTCCCCCCCCCCCATCACACTCTTGCTTTTACCCACCCCCACCCACCTTCCTCACACACTACCTTACCCACCCCACCCACCTTCCCCACACACTACCTTACCCACCCCACCCACCTTCCCCACACACTACCTTACCCACCCCACCCACCTTCCCCACACACTACCTTACCCACCCCACCCACCTTCCCCACACACTAACTTACCCACCCCACCCACCTTCCCCACACACTACCTTCCCCACACACTACCTTACCCACCCCACCCACCTTCCCCACACACTACCTTACCCACCCCACCCACCTTCCCCACACACTACCTTCCCCACACACTACCTTACCCACCCCACCCACCTTCCCCACACACTACCTTACCCACCCCACCCACCTTCCCCACACACTACCTTCCCCACACACTACCTTACCCACCCCACCCACCTTCCCCACACACTACCTTACCCACCCCACCCACCTTCCCCACACACTACCTTATCCACCCCACCCACCTTCCCCACACACTACCTTACTCACCCCACGCCTGCCATTATCCACCCCACCCACCTTCCCCACACACTACCTTACCCACCCACCTTCCCCACACACTACCTTATCCACCCCACCCACCTTCCCCACACACTACCTTACTCACACCACTCCTGCCATTACCCACTCCACCCACCTTCCCCACACACTACCTTACCCACCCCACTCCTGCCTTTACCCACCTTCCCCACACATCACCTTACTCACCTCACTCCAACTTCCATTAACATAATCCCCTAAACGATGAAAACTATTTGGCAAAATACATTCTATAATAAATGCTTTCAAACATTTGTAGCAGAACTTCAGAATCTGCATTCAGTACTAATATTCAGTACTGGGTGAGGGGAGAGAGACAGAGCTGGGTGAGGGGAGAGACAGAGCTGGGTGAGGGGAGAGAGAGCTGGGTGAGGAGAGACTCATTCAGTCTAATATTTTCCACATGTAAATTAGGGATGAGTGGCGCTGCCCAGTACCATCACTATGGCGGTATATTCAATCAGAATGAGCAACGCTGCCCAATAAACTTGCTCTTCGGCTCAAAACAAAATAAGAGAGAGAGAGAAAACGACGTGCCACTCCACAAGCCTCTGCACCACTTGCTATATTCCCCAGACTGAAACAAAGGGATTACCTCCCCCGAGGCCTAAACTAGGCAAGAGTGAACAAGTTCCGACTGTGTGGAGGATACATTCTCCCCTTCCCTTCCCGCCACTAAAAGCAGGCCAGAACCGCGTGTCCAATTTAAATTTACTAGGCTAGAAGCGGTCACCGGAAATTGCCGACAGCAGACCTTGGCAGTAAAAATGAAGCGACAGATACAACCGGTATATATAGTATAAACAAATTGAATGCGTAAAAACTAATGTTTTTTTCTTTGTTAAAAGATACGAGGATATGTGATACTTTAGCTGGGTGAGGAGTGAAACAGCTAGGCGAGGGGAAGAGACAGATGGATGAAAGGAGAGACAGAGCTGGGTGAGGGGAGAGACAGAGCTGGGTGAGGGGAGAGACAGAGCTGGGTAAAGGGAGAAACAGCTGGGTGAGGGGAGAGGCAGAGCTGGGTGAGGGGAGAGGCAGAGCTGGATGAAGGGAGGATGAGAGTAAGGCACCACAAGAGGAAGTAGTGTATATAGTCACGACGCCAGAAGCGCAGTGTTTCCCGAAAATCAACGCACCAAATAATGCATCTAAACTACCAAGAGTAAATATACACTTCCTACAGGAGACACGTCCTTATCGTAGACAAATAATATCTCCTCTCACACACGCAAAAAAAATCCAAGGACTGAGGGAAGCATCAAACTATGCATAAAGATGGCGATACATGATGCTAATACTGCCATACATAAATACTAATACAGTACACAGCTACACCCATCGACACCCCCTACACAACTGAGCCTATTAGTACTCTCCAGTCAGGCTTCACCGGGATCCAGCTCACCAGCACCACAGGGAACGGTGTAGGGAAATGAAAGGAAGGGAGGGACGTGGGAGATGGGAAAGAGAGAGAGGGGGAAAAGATAGAGGAGAAAAGAGAGGGAGAATAAGGGAGATACAGGAAGAAGGAAGCAAATAGAAAAACGTATAGTAGAGGGAGCAGGGCAGGCAAGCTACCTGTCAATAAGCAGATAGGCTGTCAAGTCAGGTGTATTGTCCACTCGCCGAGGCTTGACCTCTCTCACCCCCCCCCCCCCACCTCCTCTCTCTCTTTCTCTCTGTACTCACCTGATTGCGTTTGCGGGAGGTCGAGCTTTGGCTCTCTCGTTCCGCTTCTCAACGGTCAATCAACTGGTGTACAGGTTCCGGAGCCTAAGAGTGTTAGTTACTGCTAGGTGAACAGAGGCATTAGATGAAAGGAAACTTGCCCGTCCTTTTTTTTTGTCCCGCACGGGTATCACCCGTGCTACATAGTATGTCTTGTTGTGCCCTATCAATGCCCCTGATAATTTTGTATGTAGTAATCATATCCCTAACTGTTTCTTCCAGCGACGTGAAGTTTATTTCCTGTAGACTTTCGTGGTAACTCATACGTTTTAATTCTGAGACTTGTCTGGTGGCATGCTTCTGAAGTTTCACTAACTTCGCCTTGTGCTTGACTAGATACGGACTCGACGATTGGGCCGCACACTCCAGGATTAATCTGACATATGTCATATACAAGGGAGAGGGAAGGGCACTATCAGGGGAAAGCACCAGCCATCACGACTATATATCACTGGGAAGGGGCCAGGATAAGGATTTGGGATGGGACGGTGGGGGAGGAATGGTGCCCCAACCACTTATGGACGGTCGGGGATTGAACGCCGACCTGCATGAAGCGAGACCGTCGCTCTACCGTCCAGCCCAAGTGGTTGAACTATACAAGGAAGAGATATATCTAAAGTGAAGTTTAAAAACAAATGAGCCAAGCGGAACAAGTCACATCAACCATAAACAGACGCAGCACAGCTACAACTTTTAGTGATAAACACATTAATTAGAGCGCAAACACAAACCACTAGACTAGTCCCAGAACTAAGAGACACGAGTTACGAGGAAAGGCTGCGGGAAATGCACCTTACGACACTGCAAGACAGAAGAGTAAGGCGAGACATGATCACAACCTACAAAATCCTCAGGGGAATTGACCGGGTAAACAAGGATAAACTATTCAACACTGGTGGGACGCGAACAAGGGGACACAGGTGGAAACTGAGTACCCACATGAGCCACAGAGACGTTAGAAGGAACTTTTTCAATGTCAGAGTAGTTAACGGATGGAATGCACTAGGCAGTGATGTGGTGGAGGCTGACTCCATACACAGTTTTAAATGTAGATATGATAGAGCCCAGTAGGCTCAGGAATCTGTACACCAGTTGATTGACAGTCGAGAGGCGGGACCAAAGAGCCAAAGCTCAATCCCCGCAAGCACAAACAGGTGAGTACATGTACAACAGCCAGAGAGAGAGCCACAGCTACAAAAGTCACATATGTGACAGTTCCGGCTGTCATGGCTGTAGCGAAGCATCAGTCACAGGCGGAAGTGGTTGCAACAGACGCGCACAGGCCCACGCCACCGTGACTTCCGGCGCCTGCAAGACCAAGTCACGGTCACCCGACACGAACAGTAACCAAGGTTAACACAGGGCGGCGGCGGCGGCTCGCAAAACCCAAACTCAAAATAAACAATCTACGGGCTCACCATAGCCCGTGCTACTTGAAACTGTTCCAGGTAGCGAATCTTAAACAACAACAAACAACACTCCGCTCCCGCGCCTCACCAGCGATGTGTCTGGGGTTCGAGTCCGGGTCAGGGAGGATTGTCTGGTCGTGAATCTTGAACTTTTCGCATCTATTTCCCCAGCAGTAATTGGGTACCTGGTTGTTAACCGAATGGCGGGTCGTATTTCAGGGGAAAATAAGACTTACAGATAAGACTTACCATGAGCTATCGGAAGGAAGGGAAGGGAATTATGAGGGGGGGGGGGGAGCGC